CAAATAAATTGGTTAGTCTCTAAGGTGCCACAAGTCCTCCTGTTCTTTATTCTGACACAACCTCCCTGTTGCTCACCCGGACTCTGGAATCCCCAGCATCTAAAAGTATTTTCTCTGTGGTGTCCTTGTATTTATTGTAAAGGGAGGATTAGTATGGAAGCCCTGAGAGTGCTCTGTACTAATGAAGAAGGATGGGAAGATTGGAGGCCTGCCTGAGTGTTTATCCCCATTCTAGGCATCATCCCCACCCCAACCAGAGCTGTTAGAATGTGTCTGAGTAGCACTTCACACAAAGTGAGGGCCCAGGCTGTATCTTCTTGGGCTAGTATCACTATACAGTAAAAATATCTCTCTTTATAGAAATCTTATCTTTAGGGTTTGGGTTTTTTTGCTGGGGAAGGAGGAGTAGGCATTCAGTGAAATTGAATGGTGGTAAATTCAAAACTAATCAAAGGAAATACTTTTTCACACAACATGTAATTAGACTGTGAAACTAATTGCCACAAGATGTCATTGAACAAGATTCTAAGAGGGAATGGACATTTGTAAGGATGACAAGAATATCCACAATTATGTAGTTAATGCCTAAATAAATGGTAAAAGATATTAAACTTCACGTTTCAGGGCTTAAGCTAGATCTCTAGTAGGGATCAAGACAAGAGTTACAGGGAGACAAGTTATCCTACATTCGTCTGCTGAAGGGTTTCTTAGACCCTCCTCTAAAGCAGCTGGTTTAGGTACTGTAGGAGACAGAACACTGGACTAGACAAACCACATGTCTGATCCAGTAATGCAATAGCTATGTTTTCTTCCTGTTCATAGACAAATGAGAAGGGACTTCCATCTACTGTAATTATAATATACATTCCACAAGAGAGACAAGTTGCTGGGCTGCATGGTTATTAATTCAGAGCTGCACTTCCAGAGAAATCCCAAGTGAACCTGACACACTGAGAATGATTTGCATGCTGTTTACTGAACGAATGTACAGGGAGCAGTGGACTTCAGTACCAGCCTCAGACTTGAGGATGACTAGTGATAATTAGCCCCCACTAATTTTATTTAGTTCTCAATTAACAGCAATATCAAAGGTTTTGTGTGTGTGTGTGTGTGTGTGTGTGTGTGTGTACGTGTGTGTACGTGTGTGTACATATACACAGGAAACACCGACTAGTCTTCCTGTGATCTGCAGTGAGAAGAGAGGAATTATCCAGCTCTGGTTTCTGAGATACAAATGCTGCTTGTGTTAATGTTTCCCTTCAAATAACCATCTGCCCAATTTTGGGAGAAGAGAGAGGACATGTTTGGAGGGGTGAGAAAAGAAATCCCTAGAAGGTTCCAGCAGCACTCACGGATTGAGTTTGGGAGTGTGAAGCGTAGTGTTATTTGATTCCTTCCCCTCTGCGGACACCTCTAAGTACTCCCAGTATCCCAGGAAGCCTGAGGACTTTGGAGTATTCTCTGTCAAAAGTCTATCATTGGAAAGAGCGAAGGGGCACTTGTTAAAGAATTTGCAAGTCTTTGCTGCTTCCTGTCAGAATTAACATGCTTATCTTCCAGTGATCTACATGACTTGACACAAAATTATTTTTTTTACTGAGTTTCCTTTTACCTCCCAACACACATCTTTAAAATTTATGAAAAGCTGCTGAACCGAGCCAGACAACTTACTTAATAGTAAAAGAAAGATGCAGCAAGTCTTGTCTCAGAAATGGAGAGATCATTTAACAACAACAAAAAATAAAAAAATGGAAGGAAGGGTAGTTAAAGGTAGTTATATCTAAGGGTAGTTAAATTCTAGAATCCTAATCATTGAAGGTTTTTAAGAACAGGTTGGACAAACACGAGTCAGGGATTGTCTAGGTTTATTTGGTCCTGCCTCAGTGCAGGTTCTGATGACCTCTCAAGCTCCCTTCCAGTCCAATACTTCTATGACTGAGTTTGAAAAAGGTAAAAACAAAAATTTTCTGCAGCTGCCTCACTACTGTTAAAAAAAAAAAAAAAAAAAAGTTGTGTATGCCTTAAACCTTCTGGGTTCTTAGGAAGGTATTTGCACAGGTCCTCACCGCACCGAGGGGGGGGGGGAGGGGGGAAACCAGCCACATGTGAAAGGTTTATGAAATGGAGGACACACTTACAAAGGGTGGAGGACACACTTACAAAGGGTGGAGGACACACTTACAAAGGGTGGAGGACACACTTCACAGTATTACTTCCACTAACTTTAAACATGCACACATTGTCCAAAATGAAAAGTTTACTATTCTTGTGATGTTTTAATTACAGGATCATTAAGCCTGGAGTTACTAGCTGACTAGGCCTACAAGCTCAGACTTTCTGTAGCATTGCGCTCTGTTACGCCCCCTCCATGACACTGGCCCTGGGCTTCCCTAGCCACTTGTGGCTCGTGTGGCCCCCTAACTCTAGGGGTGTTTCCTAGTGTAGGGGCAGCTGGTTGGCTGGAGGAGGAGATGATTCTTATGCCGCACCTATGCAGGGACAGGCCTGTGAGGAAAGGAGGGACGCTACCTAGGAGCAGACAGGTTTCAGATATGAGTGGGAGGAGGAAAAAGGGAGCTGCTGGGTCACATTTGCAGGAGGGAAGTGGGGAAGGAGGAGAAAAAGAGCCCAGAAGTTGAAGGCCAGATTGAGGGCAGATACATCATTTGGGTAGGAATCCTTCTCTAGAGCGGCCATGTGAGAGTACAGAAGGGTTATGACTATAATTTAAACATACTGGCCAAGTAAAAAGAAAAGACGAAGAGAAACAGCAGTAGGAAGTACAGCCCCAATACAGGAAAATACTTAAGCACAGTCTCATGGGATGGTTTTGGTCCCTAAGAATATCATGCCTTTTTTGATTGGCATCAGGGAGAAACTGTGCGACTTGAGCTTCCTGTCTTCCTTTCTAGAGATGGCTTACACAGTTCTTCCTGCCAGATATCCTTCCATCATATCTGGGAAGTGGATCTCACTATTTGAAAGCCAATTTCCAACTAAGTCAGGGCACCCTTGCCTTGTTGCCGAACGCAAGATTGTCAGTTACAAAAGTTAGGAAAAAAGTGTATTTAGAACTCGCATCCCTAGTTCCCAATATGATGCACTGAGGTCACCTACTGAGAGAGCTCAACACACACCTACAGTTCTGAACTCCACCACCACATGATCCTTTAGCAGGGAAAGTCCGTTGTCTTACGCAAAACAGGCATAGTAGGTATAGATCAGATGATGCACTATGACAATGCACATACCAGAACAACACCCTTAAATATGCAATAATGCACACAAAGGTTTCTGTTTAATTTTGAAACACAAGAATCCTAATTCTTGGAACAAATATACTTAGTCATCAAGTCCAAAGTTTCAGATTCATGCTTGAAATGATGCCAAAAGCTACCATAAAGGTGTTTAATTCTGAAAATATTTTTTCCTTGAACTTATTAGGGAGTATTCAAAGCCATCAACTGATTTGAACTTACGCAACAGCGAGAAGCCTTCTGTGATTCTAATCCCATTTACAAGCCGGAGAGAATGCTTTCTAATACAGATCTCAAAAAGATGTGGAATTGTATGAACCCAGAGCATCTTTCTCTACAGCCCCGTCTGCACAGACTGAGTAGGAGCAGAGAAGGGGTAATATTTATTGGAAATTCTAAACCTGATGCATAATAGACATTTTTTTTTCAAAAGTTCACAGTCTCTCAAATACCAGAATTTTACACTTTAATTATACTTACCACAAGTGATTTTTCTAACCTTGCTAGTGCACTAATTAAACTGTTTTGACTCTGCAGATTATAGTTCACTACAACTTCCAAATACAGTTTCCTTGAACTTTTACCTGCCCTAGTTTCCCCAAGCAGCCAGCAGAGAAAAAGTTTCCACACAGTTTAAAAATATATAGACACCACCATCAGCTGGCTGTTCAATTTGTACAAACTAAGAACTTATAGTAGTAAGTCCTACAGAAATTCTGCAGAGTACCTTGAAGAGCAGGTGATGTTAATTTTCACCAAGTCCCACAAGATCCCATGCAGATCATACCACAGGACTGACTACATAAAGGTAGGAAGCCAATTTCAAGCCATTATCTCCAAAACTAGCAAGGTAAGCAGCTAATTTGGCTGGGAATCTCGGGGTACATTTACACTGAAATTAGAGGCAAGCTGGCTGACTCGGGCTTGCGGGGTTCTGGCTAAGGGGACCCTTGCAGGATCCTAGAGTCCAGGCTCCAGCCTGAGCGCAAACGTTGACACCTCAATTAAACAGTCCCTTAGATCTGAGCCTGAGTCAGCTGCCACAGGCCAGCCATGGGTTTTTAACTGCAGTGTAGACATATCGTCTGTGGGCTGCAGGAAGGGGTGCAGCAGGTTGCAGGCTCATAGGAACATGTTTATTTAAAGCAATAACATTTCACTGAACCAATGAAACGTTCACATCCTCAGCACCTACTTTTCGAAAGCAACAAGTATTTTATAGTTGTATCAAAAAAGGTGTTTCAATTTTCTCTTTGGACTTTAAGGAATATTTTAGATTTATCAGAGGGCAGAAAGATGAATTAAAAAAGGATTTACCTTTTCGTCCAAATTTAGAGAGAGAAAAAAAGAATCAGCTTATCAGCCTAATAATCTGCTTCATTATTTCCCCTAAATAGGAGCTAGATTTTAAGAAAAGTTGGGTTCTATACAAAGCTAGCACATATGATAAGAGGCCCCGCTCCTGGAAAGACATCAGCATATTATGCATAAAATTGACATAATTGAGTTATGCAGTGTGGTTCTAGCTGTACTTGCCCTGGCATATTAGGGAGACAAAGTGGGCGAGGTAATAATTTTTATTGAATCAACTTCTGTTGGTGAAAAAGAAGCTTTTGAGCTACACAGAGCGCTTTATGCGTGGGCTCAAGCCTTTGCAGGGTTGGGGCCATAGTCTGGAATATCTTGTCCATTCCCACACCTTTCCTGTCCACAACATTTTCATTCCCTCCAGACATTTCTTACCGATCTGTATTGGTAATATATTTTATCAAATTCATTGCCTCCAATTGTGATTTCTGGGATGTAGCGAGGGATAGTTGTAGGGTTCACCACTTTATGTTTGTCCTCCATACTAAAAAAGGGAAAAAAACAAAACAAAAAAACCACAGTTATGTCCATCCTTCTTGGAAATAATTCAATCAACTTTGAAATTCAGAGAGATATTGGAAAACTGAAATGCATTAGTAATCTGGATGCAAAGGACAATAAAGAAGTCATTACTTCAGGCAAACCAAATACAAAAAAATGATTTTTTTTTCCTACTTAAACTATATTTCTGCAGATGTAGGGTCCTCTTTCGGTTCTACTGTATGCATGAACAGACTGCCCCTTGCACCCTTCCCTATCCCATTTCAATATAGCCCTTTTCCCATTTGGCCTTTATTTGAAAGAAAGGCTAACTCTTCTAATGGTAGCTCTGCAGTTGCTGGAAGCCTGGTGTGTCAGAGAGCTGCAACTACTTGCTTCTATGAACGTTTCGGTTTTGTAACTCAGTAACAGATATAAATAAAACAGATGGATTTTTTGTACTCCGTTAATGTTTTGCAAATAGCGTCCATGCGCTGGCATTTCATTTGCAGTGGAAGGATGCTTTTCTCATCAATATTAATCTATATTTCCATCTCTAGTGAAATGAACAAATCGCACACGTATGGCTCTGTCCCAGATAAAATTTGAGCTTAATACAATAGCTTCACATTGGTTTTTTTTTTAATTGAGTTCGCTTAAATTGTGTAGATTAAGTTTAGCCCAACTAATGAAATAGAGATCTTACTTGCATTTTATTCTAAATGCATTCAAAATAATTTAATACACTCATGGTCTCCTCTTCCATTACGAGGCTATCAATATGCAGCATCTAAATTCTATTACTTTTTCAGTAAAGAGTTTGTATGAAAGTGTTTTTAAATGTACCTGGCAACATACCAGGTGATCCATGTGCACAAATATTCAACAGAACAAGAACTGGCCCAATAGTAGCTCTTGACATGGTCACATACAACACCATCTTCAATTACTGGCAATCTCTCAGCTGGTGGGATCTGAGGCTAGAGTAGAGGAAATATGCTCAATGCATAGAGGGTGTGCTACCATTCTTCACAGCAAAACTCTGTTTTACCGCTGTGTGAAGCTACAGTGTTCCTTAGGCTAGCTCAGATTACATTAGCCAATCGTTCTCTAGTCTCTCTCAACAAGATGTCATGGCAGGGGGTCATGGGAAAGAAAACAACAAGAGGGGAAACTAGAAAGACAAGTGCCAATGACAGCAGTATGTTTCCGCGCTCTCCACAAGTGCCCAATTGTGATTGCTTGTACCCAGTATTCACAACCTACACACCATTGTAATAATCTTTGTGAAAAATATGCCTAGTGAGGTATCATTTGAAAACTAATCACTCACTGGTCAATAACAATGATGAAATGTGTGTAGCAACATTATATATAAAGTTATGAATTCTCCTTGAATGATGTTGGTAGCACATATTCAAACCCATGTAGCCCCAGTTAGGCAGGACTGGTCAAGCAGATCTTACAGAAATATGTGTTTACCTCAATTTACATGCAAGTTGTAAACAGGGTCCTCAGATAGTGAGAGGGAGAAGACAGGAGATAAGGAAAATCTGCATTTCAGCAGAGGTGAGAAGAAATTGTGTGCAACCTCTTTCACCACCGGACACCATGTTGCCTTCTTTACTGTCTGAATGAACTTTAATAGGGTAATCCTCAGTACAATGTATTTCAAAGGATGACTGAACTATGAAAGTGATGGGCAAAATGCCCCAAGTTCTCTCTCCCTATCCATCTCTCTCTTTTCACCTCAGATGACAAAAGAAACAGGTGTTGGACTTTGGAAGTAGATTCCAACCTGAGAATTTGATCAACAATGTTAGTGGGAATGGACTTCAACTTGACCCAAACCTAGTTAGTTAAGTTTAGAAAGCATTTTATCTTTATTTCTCTTGTAACCATTGCTCACTTAAATGCCTTATAGTGGTACTCACAAACTCTTTATAGTTAAATAAACTTGTTTTATTCTTTAATTAAAACGAATCCAGTGTTGTCTTTAAACAAAATTGTGTAAGTAACTCCATTTAGAGTAGCAAACTGTTGTATATGGATCTACTCAGAGGGCAATGGGACCATCTGGACTGTCCAGGAGAGGGCTGGACAATGCAGAACACATGTTTTTTGGGGAAAACCCAGGGCTGGCAGTGTGTTGGGGTCACCCTGCAGGCAGTAACCAAGGCTGCTAGAAGCCAGAGTGCAGTTGGTGAGTTGCTGACAGGCTGCAGGGGGCAGAACTGCTGGACCGGGACTGTGGATCTACAGACACTCAGGGTGTTACCAGCATTCTGTCCGCGAGTGGCCCAAGTGAGACCTACAGCAGCAAAGCATTGTGAGGCACACAAGTTGCAGGGCAGGTGGTGATACAGCCCCTCAATCGTCAGGATTGCACCCCGGAATATCATACTAATGAGCTCCTAACAAGCCCTCTTTTCCATCTGAGGAGGAGGATAGGACTGGGGAAAGATGAGGTGCTAGCTGGACAAGACACTCAGGAGAAGACAGAAGCAAGAGAAGTTATTGACTTGTGTAGAAGTGGTCCGGCTTTTGGAACTTAGTATCACAAAAAAATTGCTATGCCCAGAAACAGTGCATCCTGGGGATATAGATAACACTGAGTAACATAACCCTGCATTTCCATACTTTTCAATATCTGCTCCAAGTGTTTCAAAAGTTTTGAAGTTGAAACAGTTTTAAAATATATATTGCATTAATTTCATATAAAGAAAATTCACATTGTACAGTACTCCCTTGCTTTATTCCTATATCAAATTCATCACTTTGTGACATTTCATCATAAGATTTATATAAAAAATATTGCCAAGTAGACCCAAACAGAACAAAAATATTAGATTCATGCTTGTCTCCCCAAAATTCCTATCCCAAATGTTTTATTTGCCTGTAACATTGAGGGTTAATGTAACAAACAGTAACAGAATTTCAGCTGGAAACATGATTTTGAAGTCAACAGTGTCCCTTTACCAGAATGGAAACATTTAGAGATACCTTGCTGTGCTATTAGGATTTTGCTGCAGTTCAGCTCTGATCAGTACAGATATAAGCAGCAATCCACCATAAAAGGGATACTCTGTGGCAACACTAAGCACATTCAAAAATCTAACATTTTTTGAAGAGCTTAAGAGACTGCTAGAAACGCACAACTATTTAGATGAAGAAATTATATACAGAGGAACAGTGCCATCTATATAAAGTCTGAGGATATCACACCAATCATGACGTTGCAATTGACAATGAATTCAAACACAGAGGTACACAAACACAGCTGTGCTTTTGGTTTTCAGGGACTGTCATTTCTCTAGAAACATTTACACAAGAATGCAAAGGAGTAATATGGTGCAGAAAACGGTTACTCAATTACAATTACTGATTAAGTTAATGATTAAGTAATGATTAAGTTAATCATCTGTATTACAGTAGTGCTCCAAGAGTTCAAATCAGGACCTCGCTGTGCTCAGTGCTGTCTAGAACATAGAAGAACACAGTCCCTGCCCCATGAGTAGTTAGCTAGCTAATTCACAACTGAATACAAACCCAAATGGTTTGTGTGTTAAGATATAAATCTACGTGCCACTCTATTACAGATAGATAACATAAAAACAACACTGAACTAACAACCTGAATATTATTCCAAGGTCAGAAAATGAATAAAAATAAATGCTCATTTGGCATCATTTGGCAAAGTTAGGATGAAATAATGTCAAAGAAATTCTCCTACAACTGAAAAAACATTGTTCATACTACTTATCACAAAACTGTGATTTTTCCCTTAATCAGAGATAACTTTTTCCCTTCCAATTTAGTATAGTGGGGCAGGAGAGGACTGGTATTGTTTTTTGGGATTTTTTTTAAGAACAGGTTTGGGGGTTTATAACCCTATCTCCAAGATGGTGTTTACCAGGAAAACCAGAGGAGTTCTGGGTGTAACAAGGAAGCCAGGTTTCCAAAGCCAGCACCATCCACAAGTTACAGGACAGGAAGATGGGCCCTCTAGCCAAGACAAATATGGGTCTCTTAGGAGCCACGCTGCCAATGACTCTCCCATACCTTCATCTCCCACCCCAAGAGAAGCAGGAACTGAAGGCAGAGTAAGTTTTGCTTGAAAGAATATTATAAAAATCACATCAATTCCCATTGTGAATTCCACTGGCTCAGCAAAGAGCATTTCTGTCCTTGCCACATGTTAAATCTGGTCCATATAGGTTCTGTAGAACAGGGACAAGCTGGAACACCCAGTGCCATTCAAGTGGAATTAACTTAGCCTCCTCCCATGCAGAAGGGATCTCTCCAAGTAGTGACTCTTTTCACATCTACGCACAGCCCCTTTTAAGGAAAGTCTGTCAGCACTATAGAGTGTAAACGCTCTATGGCAGGGACTGTCTTTTTGGTCTGTATTTATACAGAACTTACCACGATTAGGTCTCTGAGGCATTATGGTAATACATAAAATAAAATAATAATGAGTTATAATCTGCATTTTCATTGTGCAGCCAGCACTTCCATCCATTCATACAGCAATTTCCTCTTAAACTAGCTGTTTACAAGATATCAAACTATGGCTCCTGACTTCAATAGGACTTTACACATGGTTAGCATTAGGCATGGTGCTTAAGCATCTTTCTGCCCTGGGCCCTAAAGGCACTGGCTTTATATCATCCTCCAATTTATCAATAGCCGTGTCTCATTCTAACAGCAGCACTGACCCTCTGCCAAACCATAGCAGATATCCTGGGCTTGGCAGATTAGCTTCCCAAGGGAAGCAACACTCCATCTGGGAATATTCCAACAGTAACTTATTTACACACACACACAAGTCCTGGAACAGAAGATACTCCTTTGTCTCCTCCAAACTGGGTTATCGTATGCTCCACAAGCTACTAGGAATTAACTCCAGTCAGAAGCTGAAGCTAGAGTGGAATCCAGCAGCCCACATGTTAAGTGACAGGTTTCAGAGTAGCAGCCGTTTTAGTCTGTATTCGCAAAAAGAAA